AGGACTTGGTCTTCCGGGAGGGCGTCCCGGGCCCGGCGGCCGGCGGGCGCTCTGCGGCGGTGTGTCTTCGTTTTAAACGCCGCCGTAGTTAGACATCGCATTTCAGCACCTGAATTCCTTGCCAACAGGTACAGCGGCTGCCTCCCCGCCACCCCCTCCTGGCTCAGAACTCAGCTTGGGGATGGGAGCTCAATGGAGGATGGAAGAACAATGAGTCTGCACGCATCTGACAGCTGCTCTCTGCCTACAAAATTAGCAAATACATTGTGTTCTTTTTTCTTCCTCTTAGGGGCCAAGCATCAGAATCAGGAAAGCCACATCACAATTAGACTGATTGCCTGGATCCCGGCAGCCCGGGTTAGGAGCCCATGGAGCCCACAGCTGGGGAGCAGAAGCGTCTGGGGGCGGCTGCGGGCAGTGTGCAGAAAGGGGGTCCGCCTTCCCCCGGCCTCTGCGTGGAGATCGGATCCTACACACCCCCTGCTCCCTTCCTGTTCTGGTTCTGACAGTCCTCGGGAACTGAGGGCAGCCAGAGACTTGGAGGCTGAGTTGGTGGGAACTTCCTCCCCTTCCTGGTGCGTCGGGGCCCGTGGGAGCCAGACCCAGTGGCTGCCCTCGCCCTGTCGGCCACAGCAGCCCCTGCAGGAAAGTGGTGAGTCCATGAGGCCAGAGTGTGGCCTGGGCCTCCTCCAGGATGCCGAGCTGGAGTCCGCAGGCTCTGGGCTTCTACCCAGGTGCTCGGGGAGAGGGGTGGGGGGACCTTTGAATCCCTGTGCTCCACCTTCCAGCCTGGGCATGTGTCTGGGGGAGGAATGAGAAGGCCGTCCCTGGAAAAGTGCTTGGTGTGTGCAGTGAGTGAGGTGGGTGGGTGAAGCAGCGAGGAAGGGCTGTTTGTCAATTCTGGAGCAATAAGCCAGATTTGCTCTCCTCCCTGCACTGAGTTGGTTTTGCAGGAGATTCACTCTCCAGGTTATTTTTAGCTTGCACTAATAGTACAATCGTGAGTTCCCTGAACAACGGGAGCAGGTGGCAAAAAGAGATGGGAGGCAGGACAGGGAGGAGCTGGACTGGTGACTCTCCACAGGCAGAAGCCACTGACGCAGGGGCCAGGGGCTGGGCTTTCTCTCATTCCGGGGCGGCACGAGGTCTTCATGCACGTCCAGAGAGTTCTCCAAGAGATTCATCCAGCGTCAAGCAGGCCACATCCCGGGCTCAAAAACAGTCCCCAACATAGCACATGTCCCCTGTCAATCTCATCCCTGCCCACAGGGGAGCTGGTGCCCCTGGAGGACTGAGTTAAAGCACCCGCGAGGTGCTTTAGCTCAGCAGGTCAGTCCGTGTCTGCACCTGAGCCTGGAATTCAGCTTGTCTGGGGAGGGTCCAGCACAGTCCTGCCAGCCACTGAGGAGATTCTGCCTCCAGCCTGACAATCACAGTCACCATTGTAATGTTCAGAGTCCCTCTTCCTACAGCCCCGGGTCCTAAGAATCAGAACAGAAAGGCCCCGTGGCTCATGCCCAGAAATATCCTAAATTACAACTTTCCCTGCCGAGCTGACACTGTGGCAATCTGTTGTGGCCAGCGTGTGGGCTGAGTTGCACTGACAAAGCCGGATCCCACTGGAGCCACATGTTGGCTGTGGCCAAGGAGACGGGCGTATGATGCCCTTTGGACCCTGACTTCACTTTCAGAAAATAAAGTTAAATAAAGGAAGAACTTATTTGTGAGGATGCTGCTTACACAGTGCCCAAGATCCAAAGCAAAGAAGAAGGTGCATTATTATCCCATGGATGTGAGTCTGTGTGCTCGGCCTCCTCGTTTTCCAGCAACCTGTCCCCGAAAGGCATGGCCGCCCCGGTCCCCACAGCTACCGCCTCACTCGGGCAGGGGTCAGGTTTAACGACGGGCCGTCCCCTGGAGAGGCCGGTTGGGGAAGCCACCGAGCGCAGTAGCCGCGTGCAATTCTGCTCACGATCCGAGCCCACCGGCCACGTGCTGCTGCTCAGGAAAGGGTGTTTGCACCAAAAGTTGAACATCTAGAACTTTCGGCATAGCTAGGTGCCGACTGGCGGAAGCAGGTGACTTTTCACCTGGATGATGAGCAGACCCAGGGATCCTTGGGTGAGGCTCGCGGGTCAGTCTGAGGCACCGGTGACTAGTAGCACACTGGGGATTGCCTTACCAGGGCCGTTGCTATTTCCCTCATCATTGGTCTCTTGGTGGCCGAATTCTCTTGGCACGTTGATATCAGCCACCATCTCTTCGTTCTGAGCTTTCATTTCAAGATCTCCAGTCCAGACTGGTGCCATGTGCTCAGTGTCTGCAGAACAGCACGGCTTTGCCATACTCATTACTCAGGAACTTTTCAGCGGGCCTCACTCCTAGCCAAAGCCAGCACGGTTAACTTCTCAAACGGGAAAGCCACTCGCCACTGCTAGGCAGGGCGGTGGCCTTGAAATAGGTCACACCGCGCTGCCCGCGGCCGCTCTGGCGGGAGGCTGGCCCTGCGCGGCAGCAGCTGCCGTGGGAGAGCGACGGGGTCACACTGTGATGCTGGACTGTATCTGTGGCCCCGCAGCAGCCATGCCCACAGGATGGTTCTAGTAACCTGACGTTTTCCTCGCGGAGAAGCCTTGACAGGGGCTCCCAGTGGAACCTGCCCTAAAACCAGCACCTTGACAGGCCCCTAACAGGTGTCCACCAGAGCCCCGGGGGCGCCCTCTCTGACTGGTGGCTGGTATCCTGGGAGCTCCTGGAGGCGGGGAGTGACCTGGGGAGGTTGGAAGTGGCCCCCAAGTGACAAGAGTGAGTAGCATCACAAAGTGGCAGAGGTGTCTCTTTGCTTTCTGCTTCTGGGGGCTCTGGGGGCTCTGTGGGCCCCTGTGCTGGGCTGTGGCTGCCCGGCTCTCCCGCCACCACCTGCTTGCTACCTCACACAGCACAGGGCCACAGAGGCTGCCCCCAGCACCCCTGGGTGCAGGTCGTCCGGGCTTCTCTTGAAGCATTGGCCTCCAGCGGCACCGCCTGTCTTCAGACAGACACGGGAGGAAAGCGCAGCGCTCCGCAGGGGTGCGCGCCCGCCGCTCTTCAGGTGCCTGGGAGGCGGCCCCTGGCCGGTCTTGGGCATGCCGCCCCGTGACTGACAGTGGGACTGAGCCTTCGAACAGCTTGGTTTCTAGTTGCTGCAAAACGAAGACGGAACATTTCCTGGGGAGCTGAGCTGGAGCTCCCAGAAGCGGTGGCCCCAAGTTCCCAGGAGACACCTTCTGTCACTAACGCCCCAAAGACACAGGAGCGCGGGCCCCAGCCGTGCAGCTCCGGGCGGAAGGCACTCACATCGTCCTTGCCGGCTCCTGCGGACGCGGGCTGCGCACGAGGCAGGACCTAGCGCGGGAGCGGAGGTCGCAACGTCCGGCCAGGAGGACACGGGGGTGCGGTGCTTCTCAGAGAACCAACATTTGGGCCCTGGGGGCGCAGCGGGGTAGAGCACAGCACTAGGAAGCTTAAGCCACTTCCGCATGAGTTCGATCCCCGCCTGCCCCGGAGGTGACCCCATGGCGCGGCAGACCTCTCCTGACCGCCCGCTGCTCCCCTCAGCAGTGTGCTTCCTCGATCTGCCTGTTCTGCTCCCCACTCTGTCTCTGGTGAAGCCTCTCACCCTCTGCATCTCTGGCCTGTACCCCAGTTCTGTACAAATAAATCATTAAAGAAAAAAAAAGAAGAAGAAGAAGCTCTCAGAAGCCCCTGCAGCAAGAGTCCGATCCCCACCCAAGGTGACCCCAGAGCCGGCGGACCTCTCCCTCTCCCCTCTGCTCCTTCAGCAGTGGACTGTGTCAGTCGGCCTGTACAGTCCGCTCCCCGCTCTGACTCTGGTGAATCCGCTCACTGCCCCTGCGCCTCTGGCCTGTACCCCAGTTCTGTGTGCACAAATACATACATCTTTCTTAAAAAAATCACTGCATTAGGAAACATCATGTTTATGTCAGGGTCTGGCATATGCTGAGAAACAGGCTTACGCTGAGGAGGCCCAGCCGTGTTTCCCCATCGCCAGGCACAGCATGTGGCGCTTAGAGGACTGAAAAAGTTCTTGGTGAGGCCCGCCCCGGGGGCGCAGCAGGTTAGGACACAGCGCTGCAAGCTGGCCTCAGCCACTTGAGTGCGAGTTCAATTCCCGGCCCCGGAGCTGACCCCCAGGGCGCGGCACCTGCTCCTGACCCGTCCGCTGCTCCCCTCAGCAGTGGATTTCATTACATCGGCCTGTTCTGCTCCCCACCCTGTCTCTGGGGAGTCCTCTCATCCCTGCACCTCTGGCCTGTACCCAAGTTCTGTAAGCATAAATCAGTAAATCTTTAAAAAGACAAGAAAACCAGCATTTATGGTTCCAAATAATCAAAACGTGGCTTTTCAATTTATAAAACATAATGGCAGCTACTGAAAGTTCAACATGCAGGTAAGTAGCTAAAGTCAGCCGAGTGTCCTCACTGAATTCTCACTTGCCACCGATTGGAAGTGGGGGCTCTTGGGTGAGAAAATAGGAAGAATATTTAATAAAACGATGGAAATTTCACATCATGCCCGACAGCAAGCAGCTATTTGGGAGGTAATTTGCGATTTTAAGTCAGCTGAGGACTGGACGTGAGACACAGGAATGAGAAAATAGTTTTGTTTTCTCCTTATACGCTGCCACGAATGAGGTACTGACCAGAGGCTATAGCCCAGGCCCAGCACCTGTCAGCACAGAGAAAGCCGCGCTGGGGCCACGGCTGGGCCAGACTTCACTGGACTGTTCACTTGCCAGCAGCTTATCTGATCTTTAAACACAGCCCCTGCTGCCGTGGGCCGGCCGAGGTCACAGCCACAGGGACCCTCAGCTCGGCAATGTCTGCCCCTTCCAAGCCCCGCCCGAGGCCTGGGGGAAGCGTGTTCGGGAGGGCTCTCGGGCCCAGACCCGCAGCGCGCCTCACCGTGCTCACTCAGTCTCAGCTCACTTTGCCACTCACCGTCAAAATTTTTGTTGTTTTCTCCGATCCCTTCGTTGAGCTGCACGTTGGTGTGACCGCGGAAGAGCCCGTAAGAGACCACGACCTTGCCACTCAAGAAGTTGTCGTTGACAGTGACGGAGCTGGTGACCCAGCCCTGGGCCGCGAGGATGTAGCAGATCAGAATTAAAGATACTAAGCTCAGGAAGAAGCTCGACAGAAACATCACCTTTTTCTTTGTCGTGGGCATTTTCCCAGAAAATGAGTGTCCTACGGTAGCAAAAACAGCCACACGCTCTGTGTGGTCGGTCCAGGCCTTATCATCTGGAGGCTGCTGATTGGAAATAGAGTCAGCGGCTTGTTGCAAAGTATAAAGCTCGCTCTTCACTGGACGTTGAACCGTAGTCATAAAGATTTACAGTCGCCGGACTTCGGCCGGAGGAGGGGGTTGCCGTGGCGACAGCCGGCCAGCGGGGCCTTGGGCCAGGCCTCCCCAGGACTTCCTCCACCGCGCAATTAATTTATAACTCGTGATGTCAAGCGTCCTGGATGCGAGCTGAGCCCAGTGGTCAGGATGGACTAGGGCTCCTGACTACAAGAGCGTGGTGGGTCCCAGGCACAGCGCGGTCTCTGGCCGCGCCGGCAGCCGCCAGTTCTAGCCGTGACCCTGACCCCTGAGGAGGGGGCCGCGCCACCGCGCCCCGCTGCGCATCGTTGAGTCAGCTGCCCTCCTCCCTCCCAGCCTGCTGCGGGGCTCTGAGCCGCGCCCTGCAGGGGTCTGCGCCCCGCCAGGAGGATGGTGGCGAACCAAGTATCGTCGCTGTCCCCCGAGAAGCCCCTCTTCCCGGAGATGGCAGCTGAGTCTCCACGGCAGGAGCTTTCCGCAGGGCTCACTGAGGAGGAGGGCCCCCGCAGGCAGCCCGCCTCGCTGTGGAGGGCAGCAGGTGCCGTCCGCCAGCGGACCCGGGCGGGGCCCGTCCGGGGTCGGGCGCAGAGTGGACACTCGCCGAACAGCCCAGGGCGTCCGTGGCGGTCTGTGTGGAAACGCCCCGCCCCACGGGCATGTAGGGCGCTCGAGTTTGAGGTTAAACCTGAGAGCGGAAAATGCCTGAAAGCCCTTCCGCACCACCTCCGTGCCTCTGGGCATTTCCTGGCCCCGGTTTCTGGGCGCCAAGTCACCACGACGAACCAGGGCTGTTGCCGTGCGTGCCCGTGGCTCCTGCGCAAAGTGCCACCTGCCCCCTCGCCCGGTCGCCGCCCGCGTGCCCCGGGAACAGCACTGTTTCCCTACGCAAGATTTTCACTTTGCCCCCTTTCTGAAACGTGGAACAGAATTGCAGGAGTTTGTTTGTTTGTTTGTTTTGTGTTACCTTTTGGCCACTTGCCAGTGGAAGTACCTTCGTGTCAGGTTAGAGGGATCGTATTGCTCGCTGCAGAAATGCGATGGGAGCTACAGAAACAAGGAGAGAGCAGGTGAACTGGAGAGGCGAACTGTTCTCACGCCAGCCAAGGCTTCATGCCCCGCCTGCATGCTCATTGGCACATTTATTCTAAAATCAAGTTTTTCTTCACGTTCTACTTCATAATCTACTGGCGAAGCCTCGTTTGCCACGGGGCAATTGTGTTGTCCTTTCCGGGCATTTCCTTGGGGTAAATTCTTGAAAGTGGAATCATGAATCAACCAAAATGTGAATACGATGGACAGCTTGGACTGTTTATTTTTAAAGTTTGTGTTTTTCAATTTATTTATACACGTAGAGCTGGGGTGCAGGCCAGAGGGGCGGGGATGGGCAGACACCCCAGAGACAGAGCGGGGAGCAGAGCAGGTGGATCCACTGAAACCCACTGCTGAGGGGCCGCGGAGAGACAGGCGGGGTCTGCTGCGCGCTGGGGCCCCTCCCTGGCCGGGGTCACACTCGGCTGTCGAGGTGCTAACGCTGAGACGTGACCCCTAGGCAGGCAGGGAGGCCCCAGTTTAGACAATGCAGGACCCTTATCTTCTCCACAGCACCCACCTTTCTCAGCTTTCACAAACTGAGGCAGAAGCAAGAGCACATCGGCATTTTGTTTTCTTGGTGCAGGTGGACGTTTTAATGGATCAGTATGCCCTGGTGTTTTAATCTTCGCCGGCTCCCTACCCGTGTTAGCGCCCGCCCGTCTCGCCGAGGCGCTCTGCTGCGGGTCCCCCCCTTTGCCCAGCCGGGCATTGGTGGGCCCCCGCGTCGCATGCATGTATGTGCATCGCGCACGTGGTCACTCTGCGTCCGTGCATATCCGTTTGGTTGTGTGCATTTCAGTTGTATTCAGAGGTTTTTTATTTGTGGATTTTTTGCTGACAAAGAAAGTTTTTGTAGTCAAATATTTCTAGAATACACCCTGCGCCCTGACTCTGTATCACAGCTCCAAGGTCAGTGAGACTTGTCACGTAATGAAGCCAGTTCAGGCTGCTTCAGACAGCCGGTGGCACACTGCAGGGGCGGGCGAGGGGCGCCCGGCTCTCAAGGTCAGGGTGAGCGCTTGGACGCTGGCTTCCTTGACGCCTGATTTCGATCTTGTTCTCCTCTTTCTGGGGTGTCCGCATTCACGTGGGTTTCCCCACTGTTCTGCTGAGGCCTTGACTCTTATCTTGCTTTCTGCGGATTTTCTGAAACAGACATTTTATTTCCTTAGTTACTGTATGTGTGACTGGAGAATGTGGTCCAGACTAGGAAGCTTCCTCTCCACACGGCTTGGGGTGACCTTGGGTCATGCACATGGTCTCTTGTGAACTGCCACTTAACACCTTGAATTGCAAGTTTTATTTCATGAATTGCAAGTTTTATTTCTACCCTGTGGAGGGACAAGTTTATAAAAATGGGCTTCAAGTAGCATTGTTTCGGTTTCTGTTACTTATTTCTACAAATTTCACAGTGGTCTTACAGTGTTTACTCTGTGTCTTATTAATAACGTTTCCTTTGCAGTCAATTTGGAATCCATTTTTCTAAGCGTTCACGACACTTTGTCACGATCCCGTTTTGTGATTCGCCACCACTCAGTGATGCTCCGTCGCGCACGTCAGAGGTATTTCCAGTTATCTGGTTCACACAAACTTACTTGAACAGATTGTTAGGTGGAGGCTCGGGATGAACTCCTGAAGCGGAATCGCTGCTTCAGACAGACACTTTTAGGTTGCTGGCATCACATTTGAAGCTGCCTTCAGTCGGCCACCGACTCACAATGCCGCCATCCCCCGCTCAGTGGCTCTTCGCTGCCGCTCCGGCCAGTGTGGCCAGGCATGCCCAGGTTGGCTGTTTTGCCGGTGACTTTGCATCTAGCACTTTATGCTCTGCTTTTCTGAGACTGTAGTGTTGCCTCTTCTAGAATTTCGTGGAACTGGAGTGGAGTCTTCTGTGTGGGGTGTGGTCTTGTGTCTGGCTTGTTCTGAGATTCGCGCTGAAATGTGGCGAACGGCAGCGCCGGCTTCTGGGCACCCGGTGGAGTGTGGCGAGGAGCTGTGTGAGCTGTTGAGCACCGCGAGTGGACACGAGCTTCTCTCTCCCCAGGGTAACAGCAGGGGCGCTGCAGGCGCGGTGCCTATGCCAGCGCCTGGGGG